TATATATATATATCCCTACTGACCAAAAAAAAACTTTACCCATGGAAGAGCCTATAACTCTCCACCAAAGTGCACAATTTATACGGAAATTTACAGGAAGCAAGCTAAAACATCCTGAAGGAGAAATACGTAACAAAAACAACAATATCTTGACAGCAGCCATGGCTACTCCAAAGATATAGTTCACTGTTGAACACCTTATTTTTATGGTTGAAACTTAAATAAAAACAAAGTCCCCTATGCAGGCACGGAATCTCTTCTGTAAATGGTTCAGAATTAATGCCAAAGACCATAAGAAAATACCAAGTAAAGTAACAATTCTTAAGTAGGTGGCTGACTTCAATTGTCACATTGTTCTTTTGAAAATAAAAACAAGGGATCAAAAACTAGGGTCACCCACAGTGGCAGACCGATGCATGTGCGCACTCCAGAGAATGTGGCAGTGGTGATGGAGTCTGTGAGGGAAGAACCTAAAAAGTCATTTCGTCGCCATTGTATTGAATTCCTTATTGCTAGAGAATCTGTTCAGGGCATGTTGAAGTACGATCTAAAGTTTAAACCGTACAAGGTGCAGGTACATCAAAGACTCAGCGATGCCAATGCCGCTGACAGAGTGACAATGTGCAGGTGGTTGCTTCAGGAGATTGAAGACGACGAGACATTTCTGGGCAGAATACGGTTTAGTGATCGGGCACACTTTTACTGAACGGACATGATAATGAAAAAGATTACATGTTACGGGACTCTCAAAGCTTGACGAAGTGTACGAACAAAATTTCCACCACTTGAAAGTCACTGCTTGGGTTGTCATGAGCCCCCAGAGCATCATTGGCCCATATTTCTTTATGGATGGAGATGGAGACACGCTCATGGTCACCTCCGACCGTTACCTCAAGATGTTGACCTGGTTTTGGAGAGCAGTGGGGAGGTTGGTCGGAATGGAAGTAAGAGCAGAGCAGTATTTCGTGCAAGATGGTGGTGCTGCACTCACGGCGACAGCTGTCCTTCAGTGGTTGAGGGACCACTTTGACGAAAGACTTAACCGTCGTGGCACAGTGAACCCCTTGGCTTCTCACAGTCCCGATGTCAACCCCCCTACATTTCCACCTTCGGGGGTACCTAAGGGACAAAATATGTCGCAGTTACTTTCAAATCCTCGAGCAGCAGCTGAGAGACAATGCTACCACCAACGTCAGAGTCATTCCCATGAATCAAATGGACAATGTCAAAGATAATTTCGTCAAGCGCCTCAGAGCGTGTATTATCGCCCAAAAAGGACGTCACATGGAGCATGTGCTGTGACGTCCTTCAAACTTGACAATTTTATTTGTAAATTTGTCACAATAAATCCAGATGGTGACCAAGTATGTTTGTGAAATCTTGTATTTCTATCTCTATTTTAACCATTTTTATGGCTGTCTCCGTGGGTAACGTTTTTTTGGGGTCACCTGGTGTATATTTTTATATGTGTATACAATGAACATCGAGTTGAACACTACATAAATATATAAAACTGCGCCATTTTCCGGTGCCTTTGAGATTTCTTAAATTTTGAGTCTTGTATGAAAGTAGTATGCTTTATTTTTTTTATTATATCTGTACAGAAATGGTGGATCTAACAGGGGGCACGAAGAATCGTCAAAATATTCGTTATCTAGCTGGAAAAATAAATTTAATGGAGAAAATATGGAGAAAAACGGCAACGAAAATCCGGACAGGTCACAAGAAATATATATATATTATTTTATATTCTACTCCTTTACCCTTTCTCAGAATCATCATCATCCTCACCCCAACGTTTGTCAGCGACCCGTTTTGCCTGGAGCAGTTCAGCCTTGGCCTGTGCTGTAACCGACTCAAGGGAGACAACGTGCTGATTCCTTTCTACATAGAGAGTGTCACTGTGTTCCCTAGCTATATGAACCTCATACAGTATACCGAGTGCAGGTCTGTGTGTGTGTGTCTGTGTGTGCGTGTGTGTGTCTGTGTGTGCGTGTGTGTGTGTGTGTGTGTGTGTGTGTCTGTGTGTGTGTGGGTGTGAGTGTGTGTATAAGGGCATCTGTGTGTGTCTCTTTGTGAGTGTGTGTTTGTGTGTGTGAGTGTGTGTTTGTGTGTGTGTGTGTGCGTGTGTGTGTGTGTGTGAGTGTGTGTATAAGGGCATCTGTGTGTGTCTCTTTGTGAGTGTGTGTTTGTGTGTGTGAGTGTGTGTTTGTGTGTGTGTGTGTGCGTGTGTGTGTGTGTGTGAGTGTGTGTATAAGGGCATCTGTGTGTGTCTCTTTGTGAGTGTGTTTGTGCGTGTGTCTGTGTGTGCGTGTGTGTGTGAGTGTGTGTGAGTGTGAGTGTGTGTATGAGGGCATCTGTGTGTGTGTGTATGTTATGTGTGTGTGTGTTTGTGTCTGTGTGTGTATGTCTGTGTG